ACTGTAACTGATAGCATCTTTCTGGAGAGCAAACCTGGTTTGCTCTACTGCAATAGTGCATCATACTTAGCTTCTGGCTGCAGTGGCAGTACTACACAATCAAACAAAGGCGCTACCCAGCGCAGTAAGATTCGCTAATTCCCTCAAGGTAGGATTGTAGTTTCTTGTCGCCTTGGTTTGGGGTCATAATTAAGGCAGCCTATAGACTGCCTTAATTGTCGCCGAAGAATAGTGTGTCCTTACAGTTGATGTTTCCTCGTATTTCTTTAGCCTGATGATTTAGCCGGTCGTCTTACATCCCCCAAGCTCCTTTGCAGTAAGGTTCGACATCGAAAAATTCAGTTATGTGCGTCTCCTATTGTTGGCATAGATTGTGGATTGTATTCTTCGGAGGGATGTTGAATTTTATCGCTGTCCCAGTTCTTGGACCATCATTTGCGCAAGCGAATTTCCAGAACGGTATGGTGGATGGTGTCATGCATTTGCCGCTTTCTGAGTCTTTTTGCATGATCGCTTAACTCCATTCGGTGTGCGACCTATGATACGGTAATGCAGTAGTTGACTGGCCGCGTCTTTGCTTGGCTTACGGACTCCTGTAGATCTAGAGTTGCATCCTTATTTTCGTGATGGCAACTATGTAGCCCGTCCAAAATTTTGCACAGCACATCGCCTTCGTAACTTTGTACAACACACCGATCATGTTTCCCGATTATGACATAGTCCAGCAGTTGCTAGTACCGCGAGCGAGAATACATTCACGTTGTCTTTCCCGTGTTGGAAGATGAGACAATAATGTTGTTTTATATGCTGACTTGCAGGATAAGGTCTTTTATATTGTAGTTGTTGATGCTGTACCAAGCTAGCATTCCATCTCAGGTAGCGTGATCTGTATTGGCGAAGTCGTTTAAGTCATAAAGGATAATCAATTTGTCCATCTTCGGATTAGTGGATAGGAAGGTGCACATGTCCTTGTAAACATTGGTGTTGCCGAAGCTGGCCATTGGTCAGACGTAGACGCAGACACAGAACCATGATACGATTACGTTTCATTGTGAGAAGAAAGAGTCTTCCCATGATATCAATACTGACGAAGACGACGGCTCCAACATCTAGTCTACGCCGGCAGGTGTTTTTTGGCGCCCACTTCAGTTGCCCTTGTTCAAGGGACTCTCACTGAGAGTTCCAAACCTTGCATCGTAGCGTGCCAATTGTCAGGCGAC